CCTTTGTCAGATATATATCTTGAAAGTTTTTTTCCCCATTCTGTGGCTTGTCTTCTCATTCTATTGACACTGTTTTTCACAGAGCAGAAGTTTTAAATTTTAATGAAGTCCATCTTATTATTTATTGTTTGGATTATTACTTTGGTGTTACATCTAAAAAGTCATTGCTACACCCAAGATCATCTACGTTTTGTCCTATGTTGTCTTCTAGGAGCTTCATAGTTATGTACTTTATATTTAGGTCTATGATCCATTTTAAGTTAATTTTTGTGAAAAGTGTAAGGTCTGTGTCTAAGTTCATTTTTTTTGTTTTTGCATGTGGATGCCCAGTTATTCTAGTAACATTTGTTTAAAAGACTATCTGCTCCACTGCACTGCCTTTGCTTCTTTGTCTAAGATAAGTTGATTACATTTATATAGGTCTATTCCTGAGCTCTCTAATGTGTTCTATTAATCTATTTGTCTATTCTTTTGTCAATAACACACTGTCTGGATGACTCACCTTATTGTAAATCTTGAAGTTGGGTAGTGACAGTCCTCTAACTTGACCCATGTGTTATCTAGAAGCACATTATTCAGTCTCCATGTATTTTGGGATTTTCCACTTATCTTTCTGTTACTCATTTCTACTTTAATCCTGTTGTAATCTGAGAGCAGGCATTGTGTGATTTCTATCCTTTTCTATTTGTTAAGGTGTGTTTTATGGCCTAGAATATGGTCTGTCTTGGTGAATGTTACATGTGAGCTTGGGAAGAATGTGCATTCTGCTGTTGTTAGATAAATTAGTCTGTAGGTATCAACTATATCCACTCACTTGATGGTGCTGTTGAGTTCAACCACGCCTTTACTGATTTTCTGCCTGCTGGATCTGTTCATTTCTGATGGATGAGTACGGAAGCCTTCAAGGATAATAAAGGATTCATTTATCTCTTCTTGCAGTTCTATTGCTTTTTGCCTCTTGTAATTTGACATACTGTTTTTAGATGCATACACATTAAAAATTGTTATGTCTTCTTGAAGAACTGAACCCTCTATGATTACGTAATGTTCTTTATTTTTGATAACTCTC